GCCTTTCATTAGAAATTAGCGGCAAGACCTAAGCATTCCATAATGGGTTCTATTTGAAGAACAGTCCGTAGGACTTCTCATTCGATTTGATTCAGATGTGACGTAATGTTGCATTTTTCTACAAAGGTACCCAATCTTCAACACCACATAAACCAATTGTTCATGAATCAGTGCCATAGTGCACGCCGGGTAAATGCTACAGTACAAACCGCACGGCTACAATTCGGTCGTGAACTTTATCTCAGGAATGTACCAGTAGCCATGGTCACTTCATATTTGTTTTCAAAGATAACTCTTCGAAGAGTTCACTGACCGGAAGCACTCTGATAAGCTGATCTTAAAAAGCGAAAAATTTCAGTGTGGGGTTATCAAAAGCACGAAGGTTGGCGGATCGTTTTTACTGTCTCACTGTATCTTTCGATGACATTCTCGATTATTGGAATTTTCTCCATCACCATCTGGACAGTACGCTTGGGCATCATTGCTCTTTTCTGTCATGAATCCTTCGAATGTTGTAGTAGCTAGGGATACGACATCCTTTTTGCACGCTTCATTAAAATGCAGAGGTTCCGCTGCTGAGATTAACGAAGAAGTCCCTTGTGAAGTAGCAGGACCCCCAATCACACAGGCCCTGCTACCTCACTCTTTGGTCGGTTTATGGAATAATGCTGGCAACCTGAACGTGCGGAACAACGGAGCTGATGCCTCCGCCATACCGTTACGATCTGTGCCATTCTCATCAAATCGCACATGCGTGTCGTCTGCATCCTCTCGTGTACGACATGCTCTTGCGTTTTCCCTCTCGTTGCCAGCGCATTGTCTTCCTTTAATGACGCGTCAGCCTCACGAATTTTTCTCTTCGCATTCTTCCTTAAAGTTTGAACAAAGCAACACTCCGATTCGATCATGAATAACGCCAGCATTAGTTAATTTTTTCAAATTTTAGAAAGCATAGTCTTTGTGTGGGGAACACGAAATCCAGAGCAGGCTGATGTCAAACTTCAATGTACATTAGGATGTCGTTTTTGCTTATTCTGTTTCAGAAAACCCATGTAGATTGATCAGAGGTCACTGCTTTGCGCTCCGCTATTTTACCCTTCGTACAAAATCAAGAAAAACTTCTGGAAATGTACCAGTTCTCCAAGCCCGACCAAAGAACATACCACGGCATCTGTCGGTGCTTCACTGATCGTATTTCTCCTATGCTGCCTGCAATCGCAAGTAATAGTTTGCAAAGCCTCTCAAAAAGTTCCGTGCTGTCTTCTTCACGCGCGAGTAAATAATATAGCAGCCGTTCCCAATATAACAAAAGAATAGCAAAAAGGTTGCACAGGTCTGCACAGAGTACGTACCATTCTTTTTGAACAAAATTCAAATTCAGCAGAGGTGATATAAAAATGTTGAAAGTGTGAAACAAAATTTCGAGAAATACACAGTAGCCCCAAAAACCCCGACCAAATTGCAAATTTTAAAAATACCAAAATGAAATGAGTGCTGTACCTGCGAATAGGGTTTCTACGATTTTCTCGTGAACTACCATTCGGATTTAGAAAAATCATTTCTCGGCCAAAGCACGTTTCTCCCCCCCCCCCCCAGGGAATCGCGTGAGCTGCTGCTATAATGTGATTTCTATTGATTTTTCTTTGACAATGTGAAGTTTTGAGGAAACGTTGAGTGGCTCATCGCACACAAATAGCAGCTTATTCTGTGCGATAAAGATTTCCCACAAGCCTGCTGTTTCCTATAAAGAAATCATCCCCGGAACTCCTTGCATTCTTTCCCAACACAAATATGTATGTCAGCTGTGACCACTACAGACAATGTACAAAGTTTCATACAGGAACATTTAGCTTCTGGTGGGAAACAAACTTACGAAAACCACGTTCCAAGGACGGTCGGAGGGTAGGCCGAAGGAAACAAGGGAACGCATCGAAAGAAAAGCGCCTCGGGGCCGAATACAAGGCCATTCCTTGAAAGAATCGGGTTACTGTGTTCAAATTTGGAGAATTGAGAAAAAACAGTCAAAAGAATAGGACGCAGTAGAAAAGAGATGCCATTGACGGTTGATAAAAAACAAAAAATAAAAAAAAAAAAAAAAAAACAAAAAAAAATGGCCATAATAGAGTTACCTTAGTTAAGGCGCTACGGAACAAGTGGAACCGTACGCTTCCTCAATAGTTGTCGATAGATGTTACGATGACATTGAGCGCGTAATCCCCCAAATTTTGCGAATTAGTTTACCAAAACACGAGCCGCTATTTTTGGCTGCTTTCTGCGTCACTTAATCGGATAATGGTCTCAAATCAGTGATTGATAGAATCACGATTTTTCTGTGGCCGATACCTTTGAACCTCCTTCGAAAATATGGAAGTGGGCACTGTTTGTTCTCTTTTTGAGCCTGCATCAAACTGTCCAATGCGGGAATCTCTAATGCCTAGAGCCTATTCCTTTCAAATGTCAATCAGCCATGATTTTCAGATCAACTGCTGCGCAGCATGTCTGCTGTACATCCAGTCAGCGATGGCCTACCACCAGCACCTCGCCCTATTGTGTATCGCTGGTTTCCGAGTTGGCGACTTCTCACATCCAGTTTGTTGTGCCTATGTTTTGCCAGGTAACTTTTCTTCATCTCAACCATTCCGGCACTGATGGTGGTAGTTGCCACCACCTAATCACTGGTCTGTATTATCTATGCGACTACGAATTTCTACTATTCACTGCGAGAGATCGCTTTAGACAAACTTTGCCATGTTTTTATTTTCTCCATATTTCAAAAATTGAATGACTACTTTGAGAAACCGAATATTAAAATTGCTGAACCTCTAGGTGAAATTTCTATTTAAGCGTCCACATGATGAACAGCAATATGGGCATGGCAGTGGTTTGCATGGTGAACTCGACTGAGTTTGTGGACGACAATCAAACCACAATTGAGGACGGGGCTGCACCTCGTCTTCGCTGGACATCAGATCAGGAAGTCTGTATCTTTTTTATCCATACTTCTTGTTTTTGCTGTGCATTGCTACTAAACTTTTGGAAATTTTAGCCCAATACTAATCTTGATGAGTCGAATGAAAGCGCATGGCACGCCCCAATCAGCTGCTGACTGCGTTTTCTAGCACAAAATGAGCAGTCCATTAGTCGTCACTGGACAAGTATAATGCTAACTCAGATACTTACTCTAGAAAAGAAGAATATTAGAAAAGTAGGAAGCTTGACTGACCCTACAGTGACTGTTGGTTGCTGTTGATAGCTGCTACTATGACGACAACCATACCTAAAGGCCTATGATTGCCCACCTGCTGAGAGAGCTATAAGCTTGCCTCGTGCGGAAGTGAAGGCATGTTACAATTATTAAATGGTCGAATCATGAAATGAGCATCTAACTGAAGCAATTACACAAAATCTACAGTCAAAACTTTCAAATTTGAAAGCCCAAATTTCACAATAAGGAGGAATTCGCGATAAGAACGAAGGTCAAAGAAGGGGAAAATTGCATAGTTGGGAGACAGGCGGACCTCCTGAGGGTGCTGACCGACGCGCAATTGGCAGCGAAAGATTTGACCTCGGCGATCTAGCATGGCTCACTCTTGGCGCGGTTGGCGGGGTACGCCCACCGACTATCTAATCACTCGCCGCAGGTCTATACGTGGCGAGTGATTAGATAGCAGAGAGAGCGTAGTGTTGAAGAGGGCACAGCGATGAGAGTCGCATCAATGCGCAAATCAACGGGCAAGGAAGGGGTCCCATTTCTCGGGTTTCGGGCCGTTTCAAATGGTTTCTTCTTCATCCCTGCTCCACTGACCACCTCTACCCTTATTTCCAATGAGCTAACTTTTCATCGTAAATCTGTCTTTAAACACGGCGTGCCCTTGTCGCCGTGATTTGTACTTCGCACATTTAAGTACTGTAGAGAGAGGGAAGTGACCAACTTCGACAAAGACGGGAATCTCGCCCATGTGCGACATTGAGATTCTTGGCAATTTTTGCTTTTTTCGCTACTGACACTTCACTTTCTATTTTTTGACGAAAAACCACAACAACTTTCCTTTTGGGCCACAGTATCACACAGCAATTCAATCGCTGAATTGCCTTAAAGTGCCACCTTAAGTTCCCTCTCTGTTTTAGGGCTATATTTTCTCCGCCTTCAACGTCGGCCTGCTGCTAATGCTTATCACTGGCTTCATAGCAGACAAGTTCAACGCCAAGTACATGATTGTCGCAAGTGTGAGTTTGGCCGTCATAGCCAATCTGATGATCGCGCAGTTCTCCATTGTGAGGTGAGTTTTTGCTTAATTCGGCTTATTTACGTGTATGCTAATTTTGAAAAAGGAAAATCAACCTTTTTGCAAAAATATTGAAAAACTGTCCACTTTCTAGACGTCCTACAACCAAAAAAAAACTTCGAACAGTCTGGAATTGAAATTCTCAAGCAGTCTCGGAAAATTCAATTGTTCCAACTCTTGCTTCCCTTTGTGCAGGTACTACTTCCCTATTAGCCGGCGCCGATCTTCTTTATTGTCGGATGTGCGGATGCGCCGGTTCTACGAACCGGCGGTGAATTTCATTGATAACCCGGTGGTTCCCAACTGCTGAGCGAAGTTATGCTTTGGGACTGGCGACGGGTGGCCGTCAACTTGGTAACGAGATCTAGCTTTTACTGCTGCACTGTTTCAAATAAGAACGGTCAATTCAGGCACTTTGATCATTTATACGGCTGCTGGCTGCTCTCTTGTGCTCAAGACGGCACTATTTAGGTGGCTGGCCGCTCCATTTTTTAGTACTCGCGGCCGTTGGCGGCGTTTTCTGTGATTGCCTATTTCCACATTATTGCGCTGAGTCTTATTCCAGGGTTTACAACCCCAATGTGTGCGAGTAGTTGGTTGTACATGGACAACTTTTGCAACAATGTGGCCGACATCTCGCGTGCTTCCCCGTTTAGCTCGTACTTATAGCATAGAATCTCGGCCGTCATCGACGAAAACCCACGAAAAAAAAGATCTCCTCTATTTCTCTAGGCACTTTTAGCAACAACGCTGAGGCTCATGACAGAAACTTAATCTCCTCAACCTTTTTTGCACTTTTTTCGTCCGAAATACTTGACTAGTTGCTTGAGTTGAAGTTCGTCTTAAAGTTTCGCGGTGACACTTTGCGGATGACTTTCATGATAGGCTGAAGCTACAGTAGCGGTCAAAAGTGTTCGCCAAAACGGTTTTTGCTTTCATTTCATTTCTCCCCTCCAGAGAAAGATTTGAAGATCGGTTTGAAGCTTTTCTTTCCAACATCTAAATCCTCAACAGTCAATGCTTTGGTCAAGGCTTCAAAAGGCATGTCTGTTACATAAATGAAGGGCACTTTTGAGTGCAGAAAAATGATGGCTTCGAAAATAAACCGGTTTTCGGCGACAATTTTGTCCGCTCTGTATTATACAAGCCGCGAAAATGGTCCCTTATAGCGCTCACAACAGTGCGCAACAAGGAAGCTAGGGTCCTGCCATTTGAGGTTTCCGGGTTCAGCACAGCGGCGTTTCCTCTTCCAGTGTGTTTCTTTTTTAGTGTTCTTCGGTTTCTTTTCTTTCTTCTTCACTGACGGCTCCTCTCACCTCTGCATTCATTTTAGAGTAAAAACCGTTTTTCAATCGTAGAATCTGCCCCCAAACAGCCCTCCCGATACGAATGCTAGTTTCCATTTTAGTGCAGATTAGAGAAATCTAGACATGACACCACAATCGCATTCCCATATATTTCTCGGAGAGACGCGGAAAATGCATCGTGTAACGGTTCGGAGTATAGCATGGGGGTGACCGACAGGAGGCCGTCGCGAAATGTTCAGAGTCCGGTGGACGGTTCGCAGGGCGTGAGCCTGCGATGTGGGTACGTACATGTGGTACCAAATTGTAACAAACATTTGAATACCTACCTGAATATTAGCCAAGTTAAACATAATAATATTTACCTTGAAGCGAAATCACTGCAGTGCGCGCTGCAACTCGTCCGGCATTGTTTGACGCGCGCAAGGGTCTACCTGTTGGATACACATTACCATTGATAGTAGATAAACTTTCAAATCTCATATAAAATAACCGTTTGAGATCTGATCTAGAACCGAGCTCATTTTGGACATTTAGGTGCTGACAAACCCAGCAAGCAGGCTTGTATTAGCGACGCTGAGCTCAAATTCATCACATTGTCCAACGCCAGTGAAGATGTCGGTAAGAAGAGGACGGAACGAAAGGTGGGTGGAGCTAAGACAGTACTAGCGAGATTGAATATTGTGTCGTCTCGAGGATATGAAAACTATCAATTGGATTGATCAGCACGCATTTAATCTTAAGCATTTGTTCTATTACTTCAGGTGCCATGGAAGAGAATCCTCGGTTCACCAGCTGTCTGGGCATCCGTGATCGCTGTTGTTTGTCATGAATTCCCGCTAATGACGATGATCATGTTCTTGCCAAGGTAGGGAATAGCATTAATTCTGATTAACGCTCATGTAAAGGCACCTCCAAGCATGTTAAACTTCGCTGGAATCTGTGAGTTTGACGGATAGTGGCAGCTACAGGTGAGATCGCGTCAGACAGGTGGACACCTGTATAGCCAGCAGACTTTCAAACTTCTGAAAGGCTTTCGGCGCAATGATGAATGTCGTGAACCCGTGAAGTATACGAAGCAATCGTTCAACGAAAAAGGAATCGTTTATCAACTGTGTCTATTTAAGACCCATAAAAGGTTTATATCTATACCGACCGACCTCATTGGTTGTGTCGGGAAATAAATTTTGGTTAGTTCTCCTGGGCAACCAGGAGAAAAACTCCATGCAGATCCCTAAGTGGGCAACTCGTTCAAAGCAAAAAGAAAGCCGAGTGTCTCGAATACTGATAGCCACCGGATTATTTATCGTTAGTGTCGTTTTTCTGAGTTCAGAATTTTTTGGAGCCTGGATTACCATGGAGAATCAATATCTCAGCCTTTTTTAATGATTAGTATTGCCCTATATGTAGGTTATTATTTTCTACTACTGGCTCACAATTCATTTTCTTTCAACTTTTATATTTTTTCAAACGGCATAGTGCGCACAAAGTTTCTAATTGAACGCAATGTCTCCAGTAGAACTCACGTAATAACATTTTGAATGCTGCATGAAAATGCGCTAGTTTCTGTACTTTGTCATTCCTTTTCGACCTCCTACCTTTGACATTTTTACCCTTCTTATTCAAAACGAAGGAATACCGTCTAACAGTTGCGATATACTGCACTATCTATTAGGTCGCGTAGAACTTCTTGGAGATTCTTGCTGTCTGTATTTTGCATGCCTTATTTTAATCTGTTTCAAGCATTGACGCAACTACACATATCTAAAAAGCGAGTCCCTCGCTCTACTCAAAACACTGTCTGGACTAATTGCCCTGCTATTTTGCTCGAAAATTAGACCACTAGAGCGATGAGGAACGTTAGTGAGGCAAGAAGCACCATAGAAAATGACGGTAGTAAATGAGTGTATGACGACAGGACGCATTGCTGCAAGAAAATAAAGCCTAGCAAAGCTTGACATACATGAGAGGGCACAAACGCGGTGTTTAGATAAGCATTGGGCATAGATAAGGATGGCAGCTGTAGCAGCGATCTGGCCAAGGCATTAGCTCCCTTGTCGATCACTTCCGAGTTGCAACAGTATCACAATCGCTCTGATCAGGAGTCCTGTTAGTTTGCTCAAGAAGAAAGGTTTTTTATTGGTATAATCGTGATTCCTGCCTATAGCACTGCCATCGGTTTTACTCGATAGCAACTGCTTGAAATTTTCCGTACTTCAAGTACAATACCCTTAAGAAGCGAATCCGCGCGATCTCCTTGTTCCCACTCGATTCCGTCTGGAAAAGATGCGGAAGCGATTAGCAGTGTCAACTGTACTTTTGGTTCCCAATCCACATTGAATGCGTTGTGCAGTCATGATGTAAAGTGGTCTTGTAGCTAATAGGGAGAATATACATATTATAGAATAGTATGAGGATGGTAATCACACCATGTGATTGGCAAAGATTAACTCGTGGTTTCATCAAACCAAGTCTGCATGGTCCTGCTCAAAGGGTTCTATTTGAATCAGGTGTCACCGTAGGGGCTTCTATAGAGGTGAGTGCGAAACGTCCAAGTATGACAAGTGAGTACTTTTCCCCTACACTAGCGCACTCCGTTTCAACCCTGCAAATGTTAGTCCAGCTGAGCGAGGAATATTTCTGTTAACTACAGTGCGTTTGACATTTATTTATTCAACCTTAGGTTTTGAATTCCCAAAATAAGCAGGCGCTCGGATTTCTCTAGCATTACCAACAGATTTCCCATAACCTCCGTATCCGAATCTTGGCAGCAGCATCAATTCCTGAACTTTTTGTATTAGTTTTTTTTTCGTTTCTGAGTTTTTTTTTCGTTTTTGCACCGTTTTGCAACTATAAATTCACTCTGAGAAAATGATCAATTTATTAAAGGCACAACCCAGGCAGAGGTCGTGTGAACGCTTCTCTTCGGTCTGTAGTATAGACCCCTAGAGGACAATCACAAATGTGGCGTTCTCGTGCACGGAAACCAACCGACAAGAGCGCTTGGGCCTTGCAAAGTGTTCTGAAGCTGTTGTCTGGCCTCTCATCTCTAGCGCTCTCTCGCCCCTCCTAGTCTCTCATTCCCTTAGCACAGCCGATTAGGAAGGTGAGTGAGCCCTTAACCTGAGCGTTTTCGACGGATTCTTTTCCTTTTTTTCTTTACTGCCGGCCCATTTCGCACCAACATTCGCATTCGTGTGCAAGAGCCACACCAATGTGATCCTGGGGCATGCCTTCTAAGTTATTTACACACGTGAGACAGGATTATCTATGGCTCTCTAAAGTGCGACATCGAGAGACCTCCGTGGCCTAATTGGAACTAGGTTCCGAAGCTCTTCTTTATCGATTCCGTTCCAAGCTTTAATGACCGCCTGTTTCAGAATTTCTGTACTTTGTAGTAACGGTTATTCGCATAAAGCCTTTTTGGCGATGATGCCCTAGACGTTCTCCATCGGATGGACATCCGACTGCAAACTAACCACTGCTGGACGCTATGTTTTGGGAATGCAGCCAATCTTTCGATGAGGGACTCACGTGGACGGCAGATTTTCTGTTAAAAGTCCTAGTTTGGACGACGCAGACATGGAAAAGGCACTAGATGTTGCTTTCAGACTAACTGGTTATCAGTTGAGTGGACACCTGGATACATGGTATCACTTCAAACATCTTTGGAATGAGCGAGAGCATTCCGATATGTTTCGCGACCACTCTTGTACCAGAATATCATACATAAATCTTTCCCTTTGTCAAAAGACCACCTCGAAACATTCCAAATGAAGTCAAAAAAAATTGATAGTGGCAGATATTCACTTATTTAGACAACTTCTGTTGATCCTCACGAGAAACTATTCATTTTCTCATGGTGAGCCTATAAATATGTAAGCTTAAAAATATGAATCGGTGCAAACAAGAAAACTATTATAAAGAAGTCTAGAAAAATGATGCTGCTACCAAAATCGGGGCCGGGGTTGTTCGTACTGAGAAATCAGCTGAGGATACTAGCGGTCAGTCCTATCGTCGGGACTTCTTGAAAAATCTTTACGATCCTCCTCCTTCACTAGAGATTTCACACGACCCCTCCTTCTCAACTTTTTTTCTATATACCTACTATATACCTGCCATGTACGCAATAATCCCATAATTTAATTCCCTACATTTCCATTTACTTTTCCCCATTTTCTCTTTATTTCACCTATACTCCCACAGCCACATTTTTAGGAAGTGTATATATGCTCGCTGAAAGGGCAAATTTTCTCCCGCGCGCTCTCCTCTCATCAATACCGGAACAACTGGGGTGTGTAGCAACAGAATCGTCCGGAGACCCGCGCTTGTGGTCGCGGCCGCGACGTCGCGACTGTAGTGGACGAGTTGAGCGTCATTCGATTTGAATTTCAAAGGAACGCTAACCCGAATTCTCCCTTATGTATTAGCCAGGGTCAGAAATAAGTATATAACGACTATTCGGAAACACATCATCAAGGTGTTATACAATACCCACCCTAATTGTTCAAAAACACGATAAAAACGTGGACTTGCGCTTTTTCGTTTTTTTTCGCCATAACTTTATCCTTTCTGACTTTTGTGTAGAAAAATTTGGAGCGTTCAACTTCTCTCGTCAAGCTCTGCAAGGCCCTCACCTTATCTAGTTAGCGTGCTTGAGCTACATAACCTGAACAAAAGCGAAACCAGCAAATAAGAATGGTCCGACGATCCCTCAAGATCGCACGAGTCGTAAGCAATGAGGAGGACCTGAAAATTAAGAAGTTGAAGTTG